TTTAAAATAATGATGTAGATGATGTACAAAAAACTAAAAAATAATTCAAAGGATCCTGGATAGCACTCATTACACCACTCTCCTCAGCAATCTACGGTTTCGATCTGATAAAAAAATAGTAAAATCGTTGGGCGTAGTATTTACATATTTACTCAGGTCACGCTACGTTAACGTGCCAATTAACACGTCAAGAAGAGTACTTCGCCCACGCCACTGAAGATGGCTGCCGCAGTTGCAGTTGAAACGTTTGGAGATTATAACCAAAGAAGACCAAGGCGAAACCCGGAAGCAAATCAGAACCAAATAACGAATGCTTTTTTAGGATAAACTGTGAGCGGCATATTTTGATTTTGAATGAGTTTCTGTTCTTTTGTCTGTCAAAAAACAAACAAAACTATTCTAACTCACTATAACGGTGAATACATCATAATTTGAAACCGGGGATTTTATGTAAATTCCTAAATTTTCAGTTATCCAGATGTAACTGAGTTATATCCAGTGGTATGCCTGGTATGTCGAGAATTGCAGGAAATTCAATATTTTTTTCATATCATAACTATAAACATATCTTCAATATAAACTGAACAAACTTTATTTTGATTGCGTTGCCCAACACTTTGAATTTTGAAAATAGCTACATCACCAATATCTATTTTTTCACAGCTTTCTCCTTGATGACTCTTATAACCTGTGGGTTTTTTGGACCAAATAAAAATCTAGAAAGCTCTACATTTGACATTTGACATTTGACAACCTGTACATAAAAATTGTTCCTTATGTTATTATTAGTAATAATATGTAAACATTGTTTTCGATATAAAGTTTAGGTAAAAGTCTATTGAATATACATTTATTATGAGGTAATTAGTTCGGATGGGTACTGGTATCACAAGCCTAGATGGTATTGTCTCTATTTTATGTCCTTCAATCTGTAGTGTAAATCCAACAGTAAAAAATATTGCATACTATTCCTGAATAAAAATGAAAAAAAAAGAAAACGATATCTCTTTTCATCCAGGAGCAAAAAATAATACAACTGAATTTAAAATATGGTTTGAAACTGATATCAGGTCTTATCAATAACCCAAAAGCACTCAACGACGTTACTTTAAGCAGATTATACATGTTTCTGAACTCTCTGGTTGCAGTAAATATTTGGAGTGGAAATGTTTTTCGAGTTTCGAAACGTGATCAATTCCACTTTTCCTCTACGCACGTATTTGCTATTCACAGAATTTATCATTCACAGTTTTTTCCCAATGTATTCATCAGTAGGTGCAGTGTGGAAATAACCTGGCAGCCAGTTCATCCTATTTTGTATTTGACAAGACGCATAGGAACCCTGATGTTTTTGTTTTTGTTAATAACTCTAGACGCGAGAAATAAGATTGACCCAACTTTGTACACATGTTGATATACAGGGTGTAATATAGGCACATTGAAATATTGAAGTAACGTATTCCTGAGTGAGAAGTCTACATAATCTTGTGTCCGGAAATGCTTCGTTTCGGGGATACAGGGTGTTGAAATTTATTTCTCTTGTTCGTGTTTTAAAAATAACTTTTGCAAAACTCAAGTTTTTTCATAAAATTTTATACCCGGGGTTATTGAACGTAGGAAATCATAATTTCCTGATAATTTTCATGTGGCATCTAGAGGGCGCTGCGTACGCTCTCANTGCACCTTGTTTCAGGAACCTCTATACCCATCACGCGACTGCGGTAGACTATGGTGTTGAAGACACCATCCTGGCAAGCCATGATGGACCTCAGTTTATGACTTCAGCTCACTCGACCTGAGGAAAGCGAAAGTCAGGCGCTTTGATAAGCCAAGGTCTCCTATGTTATTGAAGAAGACCCCATGCATTGGCTTATCCTTGTGTTTCCGCAGAAGTGAGGTGATCTCTGGGGCTTTTATATGAGCTTTTTGCTGAACGGGTTCCAACTCAGTGACAGAGTTGTGGTCACCTCGTTCAGTGTCGAAAACTGAACCGAATTCATCAGCTGCTCGGGCAGCTGCCCTAAAGAGGAATGCTCCAATTCCTGCTCTCTCATGGTCACGGACCATGCAGAGGTTGGACCTGAAGAGGTTGGACAAAAAATTAAAATGAAATGAAAATTGTTAAAAATTAGGAATGATGATGGAAGAAAGAAGAGAAAAAATAATTCACGTAATTATAATTACTACTTCCAAAAAACAAATCATGAAATTATAAAACAACAACAAAATGCAATTGGCGCTCCGGGGTGACTTCATTATTTCCAGTGGCGCATTTGCTTTTTCAACTGCAGGAAAATACGGAAAAACCTGCAGCACCACATCATCTGAAGATCTTGATGTGCCAATGTCCTCTCTCTCATAAAACAAAATGTAGGGTGTAGAAAAAATAGCCTGTCATCATCCTGAGATGACTGGTATGTTTATTTATTTTGTTAGGAGGTTTTCACATATTCTTACTTATCCTATTATTTCTACTTTCAAGGGTGGTTAATAGTAATGTGTTCGTAGGTTTAACTCACCCAGTTATTAGGAAATATACGTAATAAAACTTTCAAAATAATGACTGCCACCACTACAGCTTTGCTGATATTCTTCCAGTCTATAATATTGTCCACGTTACGCAATAACTCCCAAAAATATTCCTAATTTTGTTGAGTGGCCGCTGCTATTCATGTCAGTTTGTCGGCATGTTAGCATCAATGAGTTTTATTACATTCTTGCATGAATAGCCATTCATATTCTCTGCCGATTCGCCAGGTTGTTGGGACGAGCAGGATTTTCAACGAAAGTAATATCGGGGAAGCGTAGCACGAAAAATTCATTTGTAGGATTCCAACCAGGATAATAAATTGAAATTGGAATGGAATGATGGAGGATTCCCAATGTTTTCACGCCGAATATCTGGAATAACAAGGCGCTGGGATTTTAACAATATTTGAACAAGAGCTTATAATCCGTCCGTATAGAGACCTTTGTTGGATTAATTAAAATGAAAAGAAGGTTTTGGACTTGAATTTTGCCAGAGGAAAACTTTATTTCCTTTGACATAACGGATGCAGTCATTTGAAAAATACGGAAGCACAGAAGGGCACATTATTTTATTATTTGTTTCTTGGAAATTATAACTTTGAAATTTGAAATTTCGAATTTTAGTTGGAAATTTTGACTTTAAACTTGAAATTACGACTTAAAACTCGAAATTTTGACTTTAAAATCAAAATTTCAAATTTGCACTAATAGTTGCTGCTCATTCTTCAATGTTATGTTGAATTTTGATATGATAAACTTTACATAATCCACGATCTCCAAAAGGTTGAGATACACATTCAGGCACATGAGCAAGTGCTGCTCAAGTTCACAATTTTTTTAAGGTGATTGAGAACTAATAAAAAAAGAAAAATTGAAAAAAATGGCTGAAAATGACGATTATATTAAGCAAAAAACCAGAAATGAAATAACAGTGAAATGAAATAGAAGTAAAAATAGGACAGTTGAACAAAAATATAAAGTTAAGAGATTTCATGCCAACTTACTTCACGACGTTTCAATTGTTAGTATCCACAATCGTCTTCGGGTGATGACTGGAGTAATTTCTCCGAGAGATTAGTATTCATGGGTCATTCGTGTACTTTCACTGATCTCCGCTTTCCTTTTTCCGCTTCACTTAGTGAGAGTTGACCGTTTGGCGGAAATTGACCATTTTTCGCTAGATTATAGGTTTCCATATGTTGCGTATCTCTACGCTAGATTGGCTGAATACATTGTTGGACAATATGTATGCGGCTTCTTTGAATTTCCTCCTAAGCCAATGTTCCTCCCTGTCTATGGATCTTAGATTGGGACCACTTGACCACTTGATGTTATGTTGATGGGTCCAAACATGCTCTGCTATTCCTGATTTGCTGTGTGTGTTTCTTGTACTCGGCAATGCGAATATTCATTGACCCCTTAGTTTCACCGATATAGAATTTTCCGCACTCACAGGGTATCTTATAAATGCAATTTTTGGAATTGCAATCCGTGTTCGGTGGCCTGGTTTTTGTGAGGCTGCTACGGATAGTGTTTCCAGATCTGAATTAGGTTCTGATGTTATACTTGGACCCAATTCTTCTTATCTTTTCCGATAATCCTCTGATGTAGAAAAGTGCAAGCACTGGTTGTGACGGCTTCTCTTTCTTGCGAGGCTCTGGTCTTTTAGCAAAAGTCTGTTTCACTATCGTTTTGGAATAGCCATTCCGTTGAAGATCATGTTTGATGATGTCTAGTTCCTTCTCGAGACACCTTCCTTTGTATAACAGAGCCTGATAGTATAGTCTAATAGAGTCTTGCTGATTCCTCTTTTAGTCGATTGATGGAAGTTGGATTTGTGGTTCAGTTACTGTCCCGTGTGAGTGGGTTTTCGGTATACAGATGTTTCCCATTCAGTGTCGGTCCTCTTACTACTACATCTAAGAATGGCAACTCTTTGTGGACTTCCTTCTCCATTGTGAAAGTGATGGAAGGTCTTACACTGTAGAAGTGTTTCAGGAAGGCGTCTAGTTCAGTATTCCCATGGTTCCATATTATGAAGGTGTCGTCAACATATCTCAACCAGACACGAGGTTTCTTGTGGGTTTTTTCAATGGCCAGAGTTTCAAACCACTCCATATATATGTTGGCTATTACTGGTGAAAGTGGCGATCCCATTGGCAGTCTCTCATCTTGTGTAAAGAATTCGTCCTTCAGTTGGAAATAACAGTTTCGTACACAGCATCCTAGTAATTCCATAACTACTTCTATAGGTGAATTCGTTCTATCTTCCAGGTTTCACGTCTTCGGATAGCTTCCTCTGTATGATTTGGAGTGCTTCTTCGACTGGAACGTTGGTGTGAAGGTTTTCCACGTCGAAACTGATTAGTTCATGTTGCTGTGTTACTTCAATTGCCCCTAGTAGTTCGACAAAATGCTTTGAATTCTTCACAAATGACAATGTTTTTCCTTGTAATGGTTGTATTATGGGGAGTAAAAATCTAGACAAGTTTTGAGTAGCCGAATCTCTCTGGAGCTGATGATCGTTCTGAGTGGAACGTCCTTCTTGTGGATTTTGGGTAGTCCATGCAAGTGAGGGGGCTTACCTACTGTGGTGCGGTGTTAGCGATGATCTTCCTATTTCCGAAAAATAGGCTTGTTTTTTTGAAAATCTGGTACAACTTACTTTCAATTGAAGCAGTAGGGTCCCGGTCGATCTTCGTCTATTGTCCTTTCTAAAGAACCTCTTCGATCTTTTGTTCGTAGGGAACAGTGGCCATCACCACAGTAGTGTTTCCTTTATCTGCAGGTAGGATCTTGATGGTGTTTTCTCTACCTGGGCCGTTTGAAGCTCTATGTGCTTCATTGCTAATGTTAGATGTTGGAACTGATTCTTGATCTAGCTGTTCTCTGATTTTCCATCTGAATTCTTCTGCCTCGCTCTGGTCAATAAGGGAACTGGTGGGCCAAAGTGGGCACAGATGTTGGCATGATGGCAAAGTGTAGGCCTTTCCTCAACAACATAATCACGCGAAAAATGGCCAACTCCCGCCAAAAAGTGATTTCTCACTAAACCGGTGAAGCGGAAAAGGAAAGCGGAGATCAGTGAAATTACTCGAATGGCCCATAAATAGTCATCTCTCGGAAAAATTAGTCCAGTCATCAGCGGAAGACGATTGTGGATACTAACAGTCGAAACGTCGTGAATTAACTTGGCTTGGAATCTCTTTACTTTTTATTTTTGTTCTATTTTTACTTGTATTTTATTTCACCGTTATTTCATTTGAGGTTTTCCTGCTTAATATAATTGTCATTTTCAGCTATTTTTTTTAATTCTCCTTTTTTATTAGTTCTTATAGGGATTTCAGACAATAGAAATCCGAACTAATGAAATTCTTCATAATTTTCAGTTTACATACCCTCACATTATGTATGTTCAGAGTCTAATTTTGAGGAGAGTTTAATTGAAGAAAATTCAATATTTTTTTTATATCATAACTATATAAATATCTTCAGAATAAACTATACATCCTTCATTTTGATTGTATTGCCCATCACTTTGAATTCTGTATGTAGCTACATCACCAATTAAGATTTTTCCGCAACTTACACTCTGAATGTATGATGTGAAGTATTCTATAATTTGCTGATGGATGAGCTCATTGTTCAAAACTTATGAAATTCTTCACAATTTTTAGTTTACATACTCTCACATGATGTATGCCGCTTCGTTATTTATTTTGTTTGCTATAATTTCCGTTGAAGAGCTTTTCAGTTTATACGCTTCTGGAGAAACTTGGTAAATGTTATTATAACCTACGCCTAATTCCCTTCATTTCATTCACGTTCAATTCCGCCTCACATAAATAGTTCAACTGAATTGATATTTTTGTGAATTATCCCCTGAAACAAAATAACGCCAGCCGCCGCTGGTCTTCGTCAATGAACTGTAACTTGGTCAGGGTCGCGCTAAACTCGACTTGCGCATCTTGATCGATCTAGATGTCACGTCGAGACTTCCCGAACGGCTTCCAGAGACTTTCATTACGATATATAAACAGTACAAACAGGCAGATAAAAAAAGTCTAGTTGATCCAATAAGGCGATAGACATTTGAGAATAATTTTGAAGTGTTTGTGTCATATTGTCAGTGTAACAGTGAAATGAAGTTGATTTTAATTGTACAGTCTAGTGAACTATTCTCAAATCCACATGAAAAATCTAACAATATCCACCACAATACCTAATATCTTTCGATATTTTTGTAAAAGTTGGTGGCTACTTAATTTTTCACTATTCACCAAACCGATATCTCAACTTCAAATGTTAATATCCAGATAATCATAATAATTTCAGAAAGTTCACATTCGAAAGTACCTACCTACTTGGGAAAAAAATAAAAGAGAAGCAGAAAAACAAAACTTTTTTCCGAAAAATTCTCTTAATAATTTACCCATTTCAATTTGAAACTTTCATATATATCATTGATTTTATTTTGAGTACCTAATCACAATTATTATAATTTTTTTTCACTATTTTTTGATAATTATTGAATTAAAATATAAACTATATTTTCAAAGAATGACTCGAAAACTGTACTCACCACCATCGTTATCATATGATTTATTTATGGTACTCTGTCTATTCATCCGATTGCGGTTAGACCTGGAACGTTTGGAGTTGATGGTACTGAAATCGGTGATGCCTGGAACAGCAGAGTATTGACCTGAAATCATTATTAATTACTAGTTGATTTTCGATGTTGATGTCTTATGAAGAGATGATCTGGTGGTTATATCAAACGGTGCTGAAATTAATACTCACCTCTCTCTTATTGATATCAACGTAATTCAAGTTGAAAACTTTGAAATTACTGTCTGAGGATAGCAAGACCAACATTCACATCTAGCTTTAGGGGCAATTCTGAATATAACATTCCACGCCTATGAAATGTAGAATATCTATAAGATTTATTAGAAACCCAACGTGGAACTAAGTTACCTGAATATTACCGTACATACTCTACTAATAGACTACAGGAAGATGAATTAATAGTTACTGAGAGGTTCATGGATTAGGATTCAAAATCTCCTAACCCAGTTCATTTGCATTATACTTGAGCAGATATGAGAACTGAAAAAACTTGGGCGAAGGATTGTCTTATCAAGAAGCAGTTTAGAAGATTATAAGGATTTCTAAAGACAACTGGCGGATACAAATTAGGTATCTAATAACGCAATCAAAAAGATATCATAATGAAGTTGGAAGGCTCCTAATGTTAGCTATTTCAAGTACCCAACCCCAGTACCCAAGTCTCCTGAAAATACTGTAACAGCACTGGCTAAGGATTGTCTTGTCAAGACAATCTTATAATGCAATCAAAAAGATAATGAACTTGGAGAGCTCCTAAGTACCCAACCCCAGTACCCAAGTCTCCGGAAAATACTGTATCCGCACTGGCTTTCGCGTTTCCTTCCAGCAGGATACAAGGTGATCACTGCAATCCAGTGTTGTTTCCGGCGTTCTTCTTGACGTTCAAAATTACGAAGTCATGTTTTTACTTGTTTTGTTGAATTTTGAGAAACTCTCAACTGATAGTTTACGCATCAGAACCGACAAGTGATGTATGAAAACTGACCCTTGACGTTCATAACTGTGAGTTAACGTATCAAAAAAGACGATTGGGGGGCATTTTCATACGTCACCTGTATTTCTGGATCTGAAGCAGGTTCTGATGTTGTACTTGGACCCAGTTCTTCTTATCCCTTCTGACAATCCTTTGATATAGAAAAGTGCAAGTACAGGTTGTGACGGCTTCTCTTTCTTGCGAGGCTCTTGCTGCCTGTTAGTTAGTCTATTCCACCATAACTTTGAGGTAACCAATCCGTTGAAGATCGTTTTTGATGATGCCTAGTCCTTTCTCGATACCTTCTTTCATATTACAGAGCCCGAAAGTACGGTCTTATAGGGTCTTAATGATTCCTCTCTTGTCGAATGATGGTGGTTGGATTCGTGTTTCAGATACTGTCCCGTGTGAGTGGGTATACAGATGTTTCCCACAGAGTGTTAGTTCTCTTCACCAATACGTCTAAGAATGGTAATTCTTCATTGTGAAAGTAATATAATTTGTTATTTTCAGCTATTTACTTCAATTTTATTGCTTTTTTCAGAGATTTCAAATCATTTTATCATTTTTGGTAAATTTTATATATTGAAGAAGAAATCATAAAATTATGAAACAACAAAAAAATAATTGCCGCTCCGTGGCGACTTTATTGATTTCAGTGTCGCATTCGCTTTTTCAGCTGCAGGAAAACCCGGAAAAACCTGCAGCACCACATCATCTGAAGATCTTGATTTGCCTATGTCTTTTCATAAAGCAAAATGCAGGGTGTCTCCAGAGGCTCCAATAAATTCAAGACATCGCCAGAACATTTAGTGACACGACTATCGTTAAACTTAAACCAGTCCGTTTCGTCTTTGAAAAATGCGTAGTAATGACCAGATTCAATGCCAGAACCAAAGTGAACAATGAAGATTATAATAGTGGTCTACTAGATTGAAGTGTTCATCTATTTCAAACCTTCGTGAGAGTTTAGTGCTTCGGTCAGAGGTTGAGTCGTTTTATAACATATTAGATAATGAAAGTCCGAACTAATGAAATTCACCGTGAAACATTGTCAACCACCTTCAAACAATGCTTCAATTTTTTGGCAAATGTTACTTTTTTCGGCATAATCTGTCACAATTTTTTTTTCGAGCAGGAACAACACTGATGCAATCAGCTGCTTAGTGCAAGTTCAGAAGGAAACTAAACAATACCGAAACAAACGACATTCCTTTATTTGATCTCGATTAATGGATAACCTTTAACTCAACTGTTTTACGTTCAACCAAGGTACGTCAAATTTGAGAAATAGAACCCCACTTGAGAACCCCTTGTATCGGATAAAGAATTGAACATTATTCATGCTCCACAGTGATAAAAGTAAAACTGGAACATCTGCTGTGGAATGACTTCAAAATAATTTGTATTTCCGAACACCAGGACCCTATTTTTGACGTGCTTTACCCAATTAAATTGGCGTCTTCAGAAGATGCAGTCTACTTATCCCTACTTGGTGAAAATGGAAAAATAATAGTAGAAAGTGTTTGACTTCATGATGAAAATAATGACACCGATAAATAATGACACCGATACAAGAACAAGGCATATTATTTTTATACTTATTTACCGTAGTTGTTCCTAGAAGTCGATCGTCTAATGATATGGGAAGGTAAAATTTGCAATTTAGTCGCTCGTCTCAACAATTTTTCCGCATCTTGCGGATTTCCTGGCCATCCTTCCAAAATGAGATCATCAATAGCCAGAAGTTGGTCTCCGACAGACAGAGCCCCACATCTGTCTGCTGTACTTGCTGGTATGATGTTTTCCACATAAAATCTGAAAAACAATACATGAAATTATCCAAAACGATGAAAATTCAATTGAATCTATCTATAACAAATATTCAGTATTTGAAAGATATTTTAATTGCATATATGGAAGAGCTATGTGGCCGTCATTTTCTTCAATATAGGGTCTTCCAACAGGGACTAGTCAAAGCTGTCAAATTAGTTGTCATTCATACAGCCTGTTTTGTCAAATCAATATGGACGGATATAGCATTCAACAACACGCGCAAATAATAAAATTGTTTCATCAAAATATGGGATCTGTTCTAGCAACGAACTGCGCGTTCTAACGTACGTCAACAAAACGCGAGATCTGCCGAAAACATTGTTGCTGTCTGTGAGAGTGTGCAAAATTCAACTGACCCAGGAACTGAAGGAAAACGACCATAGACCCACTGAATGGACTCTGGAGCAGTTGGCAACTGACCCTAAATTTAATCGAAAAATCATCTTCAGTAATGAGACCCATTTCTGGATGAATGGGTACGTGAACAAATGAAATTGTCCAATTCGGGACGATGCCAATTCACATGGGATCCAAGAGCGTCCAATGCATCCCAAAAAAGTCACTGTTTGGTGTGGATTTTGGCTGGCGGCGTCATAGTTCCGATAACGAAGTTGGCCAGGCCATTACTGTCAACGGCGATCACTATAGGCATGAATTGGATGATCTGGACACCAACAACATGTGGTTTCAACAGGACATGCCACAGCTCATGCCTTATTGGATATTCTGCACGAGCGATTTGTGCGATTTGACCCTGTTAGACTTTTTCATGTGGATTTTTCTCAAGTCGAAGCTGTATGCGAATAAGTCACAAATCACAGCGATTCTCAAAGCCGACAAAATCCATGGCATCGATTTAATTCAGCCTGATTTATGCACCAGATTCATGGAAATTGAACGTTTCAAATGCGCTTCACCCATAGAAGCCGTGGCGGTAATTTAAACGAAGTTATATGCCACACATCAGAAGGTCTTTCGAAAGAATAAAAAATGTCGATGATATCTCACACAAACTTTGTTTTATTTGAATTCAAAGAAAGGAAGAGCTTAATGAAAGACCCCGTATCATGACTCCGGCCGTGAAAGCCGGAAGAGAATAAAATCCAGGCTGATAGTCCTTGCTAATACTTCGCAGTCTCCGCAGTCAACACATATGCTACTGATGATGTCTAGCGCAGCAGCAGACGAAACGTATGGTACTTGAGTTTCTATTTGACCACGGCCTAGCAGCCCCGATTTTATTCTCTTAAATCGTCATTTGCTTCGTCATGAATTCAATCTAATTGAAGAAATAATGTGTCGAATTGAAACAAAGAATTGTAGTTCAATTTTTGTAGGAATGTATAAGTTGAGGTAGTTTCAGCAGGCTACAGAAACAACACAGCAGTTCATGTGAACGTGAACAAAAATGTTTTCTGTTCCGAATTTTGAATGACTGTCAATATTCGAATCTCTTGTATGATGATAAAAGTAAGAGAACTGTGACATTTGTAACTAGATTCAAAATGTTGAACTGCGATAAGATACAAATAATTAGATAACTATTTACAAGCAACCGAAAAGTTGTCGGAAACAGTTCGAATTCAATGCTTTCCTCATTATAAAAAGGAAATGAAGCTATGTTCGCATGAAATAATAAAACATTTTTACAGTTTATTACAGGAAATGAGATATCATGATAGTGGAAAATATAATCATCTAAAAATTTCTATGGTGATTATTTCAAAAAATTTCCTAACCTCGTTGCTTCTTCTCTCACAGCCACGTATACCATAAAACTGCAATTTGTGTAACAGAATGTCATGGTCAACGAGGTCAAAGGCTTTGTTTAAATCAAAAAATAATCCTGAAGTCTGCTGTTTGTTTTCCAAGATTTCCAGTGCATGTTTAATGAGTTGATCAATTGCACCAACTGTAGATTTATTTATTTTATAAGCATTCAGACTAGAAAAAAATCTGAATGATTCAAAGTAATCATATAATCTTTGATAGAAACAGTATTCAATAATCTTAGAAAACTGACTTAGTAGCGATATATGCCTGTAAGATGCACAGTCAGATCGAGAGCCCTTATTTTTGTATATTGGCAAATCCTTTGACATTTCCAGTATATCAGGAAACCTCCCCTCAATGAAAGTGGAGTTAACTATTATATGAGCCAAAGGCTCAGAAATCACATTGGCAACCTTTTTAATAACATGACCAGGAATTTCATCAATACCGGAGGATTTTTACTCACAAACTTTTTTGTATCACACTTAGGAGTAAATTTCAAGGGGAGTCAGATCAGCCTTAACTTTGAGATATTTTATTTTATCGTATTCATGAATTTTTTTATATTGTTTATTGAAGGTACCTGGTGAGTGGTGATAGCATAGTAACCAGGTCTTATGCCTCTCACTTAGGAATACGGACATGTAATTCACAATATTTTCACTGATATTGATATTTAGTTAGTGTTTTAGAATGTATTATCTGAAATTGAATGAATTCAGGTAGATGTTACTCCTTTACATGTAACGATTTTTTCTTGGTGCTTGAGTGAAGGTCAGTTGTTTTCAAATTACTACCGAAAATTTTAGCTTTCGAAACAGCTAACATCTTGCAAACATAAAAATCGTCCTCTATCATCCCATTGAGTAAATTAAGTCACTGTTTAGCGCAACACTATCCAATTCATTGAATCTGATTTGATAATGAAGAAAATAAATAAAGAAAGACCAAAACCAAACCGATTCTACTACCTCGATAGCACAACTGCTAATTATATTTTTTCTCTTTGACTACCAAAAGGAATGAATTGATGGCCAACCACCATTTTTGAATCACAGAATAATTGAATATCCCATAAGAGGATCACTTTCAACTAAAACACATATAACATCATAAAGCGTGGCAGAAAGTATTAGGCAAGTACAGATACAAAAATAAAAATTCAACAAATATTCGACTACATGAATCAGTCATCATTCTCACTGAAAAATTATATGCCATGCATAAAGCCTTATGCTTCATTGAAACTGTTACCTGGAGAAGTATTCCTGATAAATACTGACTCTCTTAACTTCCTGGCAATGAACTGGCCGATAAACATGCTCGAAAAGTTCTGGAAATCCAACACTTACTTGCGATATGAAAACATTCCCAACAGACCAACCTCTTTAAATAAATTCTTATTGACCAATAAGCTTAATGTGTATGATATGCAAATTACTTAAATACATAGTAAATAAACGCCTGGTATGTGCCCTTCAAGCAAAAATCATCTGAAATCGAGTTTCAGATCTCACACATCCACCTGTGGATTTTATCAATGAAACTCTCGCGACTGCTTCGCGTTATCATATTTTGAACAAAATAAAACAATGGGGTTATGATGGAAATACATTAGTATTTATGCGAAAAAAGCACATAACCATGGAGGTGAACAAGAGAAATTTATCATTCGTATTCCATATCCAAATTTCATGGATAACGTTTGACAAAAAGTTACATTGGAAGTTACTTTGTTATTATTTCAAAAGAGAATTAACTTGCTCAAACAATTTTACTCATGAACAATGAGGAGCAGAAGGTTCAACATTGCTATTGCAGTATAAATCGTAGATAGGATTCACTATAGATTATAGCTACATTGTTGAACGAAAAAAAAAATTATCCGACTGGATTCAGCGCAGAAACTGAGAGGACTCTAAGAACATCAAATCGCTATACCATGATTTCCATTATACTACCTGTATCTGTATCTGTAGAGTAGGGAGGGTGAGTGTAGGCTCACAGCACATGTGATCCATTCTACATCCTCCTGAGGAGTTGTCCTCCTAGGTCATCGTCCATCCTGTCCTTTCCAGGAAGGTGAACAGGCCATTACGCCTTTATATCGGCAGGTGTAGGCCAAGACTCGCCAAACACACACTCTCTTATTGACGATAACTCCGGACACTCGCATAGGACATGCCTGACAGTCTCATCTTCCTGTTCACACATCTTGCGTAGAAGTGTGTCTACCAGCCCAATATTATGGAGGTGTTTCCTAAGTTGACAGTGGTCAGTCAGAAATCCTACTGTTAACCGTAGGTTTTTCCTGGTCATCGCCAGATATTTCTTCTGCGCCAGCTTCCCAGGGTCGCCCAGGGTGATCCTGGCAAGACTACATCCTTTGATTCCATCGCATTACACTAATAACAGCATAATCTATCAAAATTGCCTACGAATCTTTGATGAATACGAGCTACCCGACGACTCATCCAAATTGAGATGAGAATATTAGCTGCAGTGGTGAAAATAACGACAATACTAAATGAAGAATCATTTTTCAAGCATTTCATTACGCTAAGTTGAATTACCAAGGACAAAGTCTAAATGATATCAGACACTTTCAGTATCATACAACTCATTCAACGAATATTTCAACACCTAATTGAAATACTTATCTAACACGAGAACATGATTTGAATGAATCCGCACGGGGGAGCTAACTTCTATACTCGTGAAGCGTATACTCCACATACTGATTTGAAACAATATTCCAAAAATATAATATTGAGAAAGTGAAACTCAAAATGGAATAATACGCTATTCTAACTGAGGGAATTATAAACATTTGTGAACTTGCACAAGAAATGTATGAAACTTTGAATTATCCATAAACTATCTGTGTGCTTTGGAATTGTTGAACAAAGTATGAGCTGATCATGAACCGTTACTTGTTGGGCAATAAACACAGAGGGCAAGTTCATTACTTTGCAATTGTTTTTGAATTATTTTCATTCACAAAATTGGTCTCAAACATTATAATTAATAATCGAGCTGACAGTTTGTTAAAAAATATAATTACCGAATAAAACATTTTCAAATGAAGGACCTGACGTACCCAAGCCTGAGAACAACTTTAACAAGTTGGCACTCTAAGCGGACGACACAGCTCTACTGGCGAGATCAACTTGCCATATGCAAGTTATCAGATACTTGCAACGGCAGGCGGACAGATTAGAGGAATGGGCCAACTTTTGAAAGATCAGCATAAACCCTGACAAGAGTCAGGCAATACTGTTCACCCGAAGGATGGTACACCCGGAGGGAAACATCACCTTCAACGGACAAGAGATTACGTGGACCAACGAAGCAAAATACCTGGGAGTCACACTCGACAGAAGACTAACGATCAGAACACACGTACGGCAAAGAATAGGGCTGGCGAGAGCCGCCACACCAAACCTATATCCAACTATAGGTCGCAGAAGCAACAAGGGACTTCACGTAAAACTGTTGCTAATCAAGACCGTACTACGCCCAATCATCCTGTATGCCTGCACGGCCTGGGGCCAGTGTGCAGCAACATACAGACGCAGTATCCAGACGTTCAGTAACGGTTGCGTGCGAGCAGCCGTAAACGCTCCGAGATACATATTAAATAGACACATATACCGGGATCTGGACCTGAACATCCACTACTTAGAAGCGAATATGAGATAATACGCAGAAAACGTGTTCGAAAGAGTGCGATCACACAACACCCCAGCGCTGCGCGATCTACACGAAGCACTCAACAGGTAAGAACCAAGATTCCTAAAGAGAGACAAACACAAGAGGCCAACCAAGCGGAATCAGAAACCACCCCCGATAGTCGCTTTCAGGCGGCTCCGGTAAGTATAGAAACTTCCTAACCAGATTTCAAATTGATTTCTTTTTCAGATTCACTGGGTAACACTTGCTCGCATTCTAAAGACCCTCGTCTCCGGTTAGTTTTTGGGGGTCTCATTACATTCAACTGAAGCAACGATTGATAAAATACCAGATGAGAAAGTAAAAGCACCTAAAGGCTGGCTTTCGACTGCAGTAGGTCAGATGTCAATCTTGCTGAAGTGCCCATCAGTAAGTTTGAGACCGCTCTGGAGGAGCGGGGGTGGATGGGCGAGATGGAATGTTCTGCACACAGTAACCGTTTGGGGAAGATTTCAATTCAGGGCACTCAACCCAGGAGGGGGCATGGGGGGGCTGTCATTAGTCTTTATGACGATACCAAAAATACCTTACAGAAGAGTCACTCATCGGACACTCATATTGATGTTGACGGGTCGAGTGTCTGTAACCTTGATTCTGTGAAGGTGTTTCAATGTCATGTTTTGGCGATAAATTTGAATCATCTTAAACATATCGGGTAACGAGCATTCATTTCCAGCATTCATTTCTATGTTAATAATTCTGCCTAGCGCAATGTGTTTAATTGACTCCTATTCGTGACATTGAAGTTTTATTTGCAACTCGAAGAATAATAATATTAACTCACCCTGCCGTTATGATATCCTCAGATTCCATGTCGCAACAGTTTGTCAAAACCAATCCGAATTCTTCTTCCATTTGCCTATCGATTTCTAGAAGCAGTGGTCCATTGGCATACTTGACCGATTCCATGATGCTTACGTCATATTCTATGGTGAGTGTGGTGAGAATTATGCCGTGGGTACTGGACTGCGTGTTGTCCTTGAGGATTTGTTGAGCTTCTAGAAGGGTTTTGTTGACTAGAGAGTAGTGGTCAACTTTCAATAGCCGATCTCCAACTCTGATCATGCCAGTTCTGAAACAAAACTACTGTGAGTTTTTTTGTTTTATGGAAATGAGCTAAATTTCATCTACGGAAGTAATTCAATCAAACAATAGGAAAATATCGATATTTCCAGAAATATTCCTTTTATCTGCCTTATGGCAATTCCAACAACCCGGTAAGGTTTGTTAAGTTATTTTTTGTTTATAAAAACGACCAAAAAAATCAGTACAACAATGATCATTATTGTTCAGTTACAATATCTTCATTTAGTTTTAGGTTTAACTAGTAGAAAGGTACCACGTCAACAATTTCTAAAATGGTCAATTCTAGTTCATTGGACGAAAAAATTGAAGCGATTTTTATTTACGGTGCGACGCGTAACTTTCACAAGACCGAAAGGATTTTCAATGAACGTTTTCCGAATCGTCCTATCTATATATTTGAGGGAACTTCAAATTTATTCAAATTCACAACTACCGGTAGTGTACATAACAAAAAGCCACCAGTCCATCCGGAAGAACAGCAAGTGCAAACAATTGGTGAAATGTTAGTAAATCCTGAACTGTCTGCTTATTCCGTCACGAATGTTTGTGAGGTGTCTCCTTCTACTCTGAGGAGACTTTGGAGAGGAATAGGTATCATCCATACAAAATTAAAATGGTACACCAATTAACTCAAGATGACCCTGACCGAAGAACAGAATTCTGCGAAATCATGACGGAAACCATTGCAAGACATCCTACCTATCTCCACAATATTTGTTTTAGTGACGAATGTACATGTTTTTTAAACGGCAATGTTCACAGATAAAATTGCCGTTATTGGAGTGACACCAACCCTCACGTTTTCCGGGAATCTCATAACCAATATCCATGAAAAATTAACGTTCGGGTAGGAATATTGGGAAACCATATTGTAGGACTACTTTTCCCGGTCGTTAGATTGGCCGTCGAGGTCCTACAGAACGGCCAGCTCACTCGCCAGATTTGACACTTTCGAACTTTTTTTTATGGGGCTATTTGAAGCAGAAGGTGTACGAATCTAAACTTGCTTTAGAGAATAATAAATATTTGTGGATATATTGACGTTACTGTGTTCAAAAATGTACTGCGTGAAATATCGGATAGGCTGTTCATATGTCAAGAAGTTCAAGGCAACCATTTCGAGCATCTTCTGAACTGAACTTAAGCTTATTACCTCATATCATGTAGTTTAATGTCAATGTATTCAGGCAATTATTAAAAGTTCCGTCATTGTATAGTAGTTAACGATATTAACATTATATTCTAGGATTGTGAAGCATTCACTTCAAAATAAAGTATTCATGTATTGATTTCATCATCCAAAATTTTAATTTTTTGAATTGACCCGTTCAAAAAATAAAAGGGAGGGAAATTGAAGAAATGTACTGTATAATCTTCAATGGACAATCACTATAAGCTGTGTATAGAATCAATTTGAGGCAGCAGAAATAAATGGCCACTTCTGTGGTTTTGCTTTTCCGAAGACAAGTTTCAATATCGTTCTGAACATTTCAGTGAGTATCCAGAAGACGATGCAGGAATCATTGAAACTTTGGAAATCAGATATGGGACTGAACCTAACCTGAATAGCATTCAGAGATCCAATATATAAACATTGTATGTCTCCAAATGCCTAAAAATTATGTGAATATAATTAAATTATTCGTGAAGCTTTGATGGCATCACTATTATTCAAGGCAGCCAGAATCCTATCCAATAGGTAATGGTTTGAACTTATTATATTACTCAGCAAACACAGCTAGCTACACGCCTAATAAGCACTTTTACGCACTAACTACAGAAGAAGAAAAGAGAAACCGTTTAGATCTCATTCAGAACCCTAATAATAAATGACCAATAAAGAAACTGAATGAATCCTGATAACTTCTACAACTATGAAACATTTCATGTTAGTTTCAGAAATAATGAATGAAGTATTTTATGATTGAATTCAATATATGACCGAAAACTTTGAGGAAAGGTAGTGAATACGACTTTTGTAGAACATGGACTACTGAAATAATAGAAAGTAATGTATACTGAAATGACAAAATAGTAATTGCCTTATTTCTTGTTTTCTGAAACTTGAAGACATGGAGCTACTGGCTCTGTGTAAGCCCACGTCGCACATATCTAATAACTGTTTTAAAATAACAGAACTAGATCCAAAATTTCAATATTTATTGAAAATGCTATACCGTCCAATAAAAACCACTTCACATTGTATCATGAAGAAATATTTTGTGGATTGTCAGTTTTCCCATTTGGAAAATTTTTACGAAGACCAAAGCGTTGATTATGCCAAAAAACAATAAATAAAAAATGGTCAGTCAAAATTTATTTTGAATTGTTCATTCATATGAACCAAGAATCACAAATGTTCACTTCAACAAGTCTTAGATATCATCCAAAGTAAGTCTAGGATTCATGAAATGAGCTGTGAAAATTGTAACAAATATATTGGGTAGTCTGGATGAGTTACTGATACTCGTTATAAAGATGACACGAAATATAAATATAAGTATCCGATTTCGTAGAACCAAGAAGTTTAATGTCGCTCGATATGCTTCAAAGAACGGCCATAAAATAAACGAACATTGCTTCAAATTGTTGAGAACGGTGGATACTTTCGAGAGTTTGTAAACAGTTAAGTGTTGCACAAGAACTATGAATAGAAATAATGTCATTCCAAACTATCTACTGTTTACTATTTCTTGAATCACTCTCTTGAAATCAGAAGGAAATCATTGACGTGTGAAGGAAAGTGAAAAGAGAGGTTCAATCTGTTATTGTTATTTTTAACCTGATGACGCCATTTAACTTTGTGAAACACGTTGAGAAGAGTGTTGCAGTTTTGGTATGTAGACGCAACGCTTGTATTGAATACATAATGATTGAGTTGAATATTTGATTATGATAGGGATGCAAGATTTGGAATGAGAAGTTTGATTTTCTTACCTGAAAGCCGGACCATTTTGCCTAATTTGTGTGATGACAAGGGGTCTGGACAGTTGTGGATGTTCCGGTACTAATCCTCCCCTTAATGTAATACCAAGAGAACCATCTATCCTCTCTATTACAACTTCTGTAACTCTCGATGTTACACACAAAGAACTTTGTGAAGCTGAAACAAAAATATTCGAATTATTCCAAAGATGATGCCAAAGATGATGAAAGATATACAGTGTGAAAAAGCCAAATGGAATTAATTCATTATTTCGGTTACAGATCCCGAAAAACATCAAATTCAAATTATAATTTAACATACTTCAACGGAAAAATGCTACACCTACCTTCAACCCCCGTTGAATGGAAGTATATGCTTGTGATATATCGTTTGAAAGGTCTCTTCATTCTCTATTTAGAAATGTTATCGCTTTCAAGTTTATTGCAACAATAGAGATGAAATAAATTAAAATCATGTGGTTACCGAAATTCGATAAAATACACTCAAAACTTATTACAATATACTTAAAACTTATTTCATGTTGAGGCATTGATAATAAAAAAGTAAGCAAAGACCATAGCAATGTTTTATTTAGATGGTACCTTCTAAAAAACTGTCGATAATTTCCTTGGCAACATTAGTTTAAAACGCCTTGTAAACTTGTTTTGTATGTTACAACATTAGTTGTCAGTTGTCAGTTTGAAGTTCGTTAACTTCAACTCTGACAAATGGTTTGATTAATGGAAATGCATAAAATAACAGTTTCACAAATGATTGGTTACGGTTACGGTTACAGAAAGTAGCTCGCCTATTTCATGAGAAATTTTCTAATTTACCATCCATATCTCAAGGAACAATAGGCAAAATAGAGAAGCAGTTTCGCGAGCTTGGTCATGTGGGACAGGGAGGCGGGGATCGATTAAATGGCCGGCGCTATCACCTGATCTTTCATCATTAGATTTATTTTTATCAGGATATGTAAAGAGCAATGTGTAAAAAACTAAACCTTCAGATTTGAATGACTTAAGAGAACGAATAACGTTTGCGATTAGGTCGGTCCCGCCTGATATGTTAAATAATGTTAGAAGGCAGTTTTATTTGAGATTAGGATGTTGTCAAGACGTTTGCGGTGAACATTTTGAACATCTACTTCGTGAACATTCGTATTTCTTTTTCGTATTCTACATTTCATTACGTTTTGCATTACATTTTAGTTTTTGAGTGCGTTTTATAGAATTTCGATAACCACATGATTTTAATTCATTTTATCCTTATTGCTGCATTGAACTTGAAAGCGATAGCATTTTTGAATAGAGAATCAAAATACCTTTCAAACGATATATCACAAACCTATACTTCCTATTGTACTTGTCATTTGAAGGGGATTGAAGGTAGGGGTAGTATTTTTACGTTGGAAAGTGTCAATTTATAATTTACATTTGACGTGTTTCGAGATTTTTAAAAAAATATGTACAGTAACTGATATAATGAATTTATTCCATTTGACTTTTACTCACTGTATATTCAGTAGATCCAGCGAGTTCAGTTTTAGATAATGTGCTTTTACGCCTATTATGATCGAGTGGAGGAACCGCCACTGACAAGTCCGATAACGTAGCGCACGTGAAATCATGCGGCACGGTACATGCGATGATCTGCGAATAATACGGAAGGTCCTATGGAAGGTCTAATACCCCGAGCGTTCGAATTTCGCGAATTTCTGAGAGTTCGATAAGTTCGGAAGCAAAGAAAGCGAAGTAGTGAAATAGTGCGATAATTGCAAAGTGTGATGAAAGAGGTGACTCAGGTTATTAAGTTGTTATATTTTGTGTGAGCAATAAAATATCGAATGGAATTCATCCATTTTTAAACTGATACAGTGAGCGACTTTCACTATGAAAAGTTTACAAATCCACTACACGCGTTTCGCTATACAATAACTTCCTGAAACAGTTCTGATAAATTACTCCTACTCGTATATTCAAACATTTCATATTCTAGAATCATTAGCTTTTCCCTATGGCCCTATCAGATGATTAATTCTAGGCTATATTCGACTATCAGTAAAGAGCTGATATAATCCTTGATTAACACCTATTATATATGCTGAGGTAACTAGGTGAAATTATCTGTAAAGAACGGATTCAGCGAAAGGGAGTGATTCAAATCAATTCAATCGTTCATCAGCTATTGCGAATATTTGAATTCATTAATTTCCATTTTTTCCAGAAGATTTGAATTGAAGTTGTTAATTTGGAAATAAAGAGTTTGTATTTATTTTCGAGCTCATATTCCTCTGTAGAGAGGAGAGTAGCATACATTGAGTTCATTTTCACATTCTGAAAATAAACTTTTTCAGATTTGGAAACAAAATCCCAGTTTCACAAAAACCAAGCCACCAAACGCAAACGTCTCCAAAAATTGCTTTTACCGAATACCATGTAAATGTGACAAGTCCCAAATCGATAAAACGAAGAGACCTTTGAAACTACGCATTGACGAGTACAAGAAAAATAGCCAATCAGGAATAAAAGCAAATCGAGAATGACTTGAAGAGCTCCGAAGAATGAAGTCATTCACACACCCCAGCAACTTTTGATGTTTCATAAAGCTCAGATCAGACCTTCTTTGGAGTATTCTTCTCATATATGGAGTTCCGGCCCTAAGCATACCCTGAGGCTGCTGGATTCTATCCAGAAAAGTGTCATCCATCTGATTGCAGACGATTGGCGCAAATAATTTTTTTTTTTTTTGTATTCACACTGTTTTGCGTTTCAATGCTTCGCTAGTACATGGAACTCTTTATCCATACGAATTTATTTTTCAATACAAGTCAGTAAAATGCGATTCTGCTTTGAGGATTTCTCGTTAATTTTGACAGATGAGCCGTTCACCGTCAGATGCATATCAAAGATTCGTGAACTGGAAAATCGAAGAGAAAATGAAAACATCAAAGGTCGAGTGATATCTACGTCGAATAACTACGAAAATCATCGTTTTCCACACTCTGATCTGAAAGGCTCAGACCATATAAATCAATTTTGAAGGGTTGCGAATAAACAGATGAGAAATTAGACAGTTTGAAAACTGATTTACAATACTGCCGGTAGGTTAACCGAATATTCTTGAGTCGTTTAGTCCGCTTTAATTAATTTTGTTTCACTCCCTCAAGTTGTCATAACCTTTCACAGTATTGACCAACTTTTTAATAATCGATCGAAGGATAATATAGATTTGTATCCTAATGAAGATTAAGTAATTTTCACAAATAAAATTTTTATTCTCGACCCGTTTCGCTAATACCGTAGCTTCATCAGTAGTAACAGTACTATATTAAAAATCATTCCTATATAACATTTGGAAGAAAATATTATTCTTGGGTACTGTTATGAGCGCCAATTTATGTTCATTGTATTTGGATAAAAGGAATAGTGATAGTGCACTTAATTGAGTAATAACACAAGTCCACAAAATTTAATACATAGACTGCCATTTTTCAACAAAGACTTTGTTATTAATGAGAGGAACTAGCTGTTTGATTTCTAACGCTTGAAAATAATAAAGTTCAGTTTAAATAAAAAATAAATATAGTATAACCAAGTTAGGACATGTATCTGGGAAAATTTTTAGGTTGAGTGGTATTCGTGAATATTATTTGCTGAAATATTCATTGTTGAATGCATCAATAGAACAAAATACCAATTCTCAAATTGATTAAATTTTATTGTCAGAGTCACGGGAAATTTCAACAAAAACATTTGTTTGAAAGTACAATTAAGAACACAATGTTCGAATATATATATATAACTTCAGTGAAGAATCCTGCATTGATACCTGTCGGATATAATTCAACGCCCTTCGTGGTATCAGCCAGAGGAGTATTTGTTTTCTGATAGGTGTTAGTCCATTAACCTACAGTGTAGGTTAATTGTTCTTTAAGATAATTTGAAATAAAAATGTTTTATTATACCGATAAGTTTTGATTGAGTTATTGAGACTCCTGAATATCATATAGAAATTGTCGGTATTCAAGGTAGATTTTGAATTGAAAGACTGCTGTCTTACTTTCGTGAGGTTATGTGAATCGGTGAAGTGTAGTAGTTCAATTTGCATTGCGTTCTCATTTGATTTGTCTAGATTGAGTTAGAGTTTAGTCACGGTCATAATCATAAAATCAAATCAAACCTGCGAATTTTCGTTATAATAATAAAAATATACTTTTTTCAAATGAAGAAATACATGTAAAGTGAATTCGAATTATATGAAGGAGGTTACCTACAGCGCCATCTGCCCGCGAATAGATCAAACAATAATGTCGATAATTCTGGAGTGATATTGATTTCATCAATGTTAATTTCATGGCTATCAGTCTTAACTCTCTTGGTTTTAACGCTGTTTGGAAAAAGCGTTTTATTGAAAATAGTACCACAAGACTTCAAAATTTCATCAATAAATATCCGTTTTATGACGAAACCTTCGTTATTTAGCAATGAGAGCAAACAGCTTGATGAAACCACGAGACCGTAGGACGAGTGCTTTTGATATTGTTCAAAAATAACCAAGTTAGGACATTTATCTGGGTAAATTTTTAGGTTGAGTGGTATTCGTGAAAATTATTTGCTGAAATATTCATTGTTGAATGCATCAATAGAACAAAATACCAATTCTCAAATTGATTAAATTTTATTGTCAGAGTCACGGGAAATTTCAACAAAAACATTTGTTTGAAAGTACAATTATTAAGGACACAATGTTCGAATATATAAACAGAGTACGTGAAGGAATAACTTCAGTGAAGAATCCTGCATTGATACCTGTCGGATATAATTCAACGCCCTTCGTGGTATTAGCCAGAGAAGTATTTGTTTCCTGATAGGTGTTAGTCCATTAACCTACAGTGTAGGTTAATTGTTCTTTAAGATAATTTGAAATAAAAATGTTTTATTATACCAATAAGTTCTGATTGAGTTATTGAGATTCCTGAATATCATATAGAAATTGTCGGTATTCAAGGTAGATCTTGAATTAAAAGACTGCTGTCTTACTTTCGTGAGGTTATGTGAATCAGTGAAGTGTAGCAGTTCGATTTGCATTGCGTTCTCATTTGATTTGTCTAGATTGAGTTAGAGTTTAGTCACGGTCATAATCATAAAATCAAATCAAACCTGCGAATTTTC